GAACGGAACAAAAAGTGTTGAACTTGAAAATTGTTTATGCGCGAGTGCACTTGCTAAACGAAGGCGGATTGTATAAAATGGATAAAAAATTTAAAAAAACGTTTATTAACGAGCTGCAGTTTTATTACATCATGGTGAGTATTTGTAATTCGTTACTTCACACCCCTGGATATGAGCTTGCTCAAATACAGAGGAGCTAAACCATTTAGGGCTTTAAGTAATTTAAAATGTGTTCAGGGTTCAATAGGGAGCCAGTGCAGAGTTGACAGAACCGTTTAAGTGTTTAACTCCTGTGGTTGATATCTGTGTCATTCTTGAGTAGTGACCAGACGAGTCCTGCAAGCACTGCGTCCTGTTTGATTATTCATGAATTCACATGATCACTTTCTTTATAAGATGTAACACTTATGCAAAGCAGCATGAGTCAGCAATTAAGTATTTATTACATCAGTATTGTCAACCATCATCATGACACACGTGCTGCACAATTTAGCCCACAACCTCCATTTTGACAAAACTCGTATACAGTGGCTCAGATCCACTTAAAGGGATAGTTCACCCAAAAATGAAAATTAGATTTTTATCTGCTTACCCCCAGGGCATCCAAGATGTAGGTGACTTTGTTTCTAGAGTAGAACACAAATGATGATTTTTAACTCCAGCCGTTGCAATCTATCAGTCGTATAATGCATGGCAATGGTAACAAAATCTATGAGAGTAAAAAAAACATAATGAGTGACGTATATGCGCGAGAGATCACTTCCGGTGCTTGCGTAAACTATGCCATACACACCTCACGCACCGGATGCCGTGCACGAGCGTGCCCAAAGACAGTTGGACATAATGGTGTATTAGAGGTAAAAAATGATTGAATGGAGTTTTGGTTCCTTACCGCTGTCGCCTCTGGCTTGCTTAGTTGGGGACACTTCATTTCCAGCGATATCGTTGACTTGATTGCACAGATACTATTTAAACTGAACTGAGCTGGATGATGAGATCACTGAATTCAATGATGAACTGCCTTTAACTGAAAATTGAGTGTTTACTATTGTCACTTTGCATTACTGACACACTATTTTCCTATTTAATGCGTTAAAGTTGCTTTGACACAATCTGTATTGTTAAAAGCGCTATATAAATAAAGGTGACTTGACTTGACTTGAATGACAAAATTTTTTGTTTGCTTACAACTCCCTTGATATGAGCTGAAGATGGATTGAATAATGTGACGTATACATTCAAAAAAGTGATCACATGATTGCTTTTGTTAATAGTTACATAGAAACTGGGAGTGGCTCATTTACTTTCTTGCTCAACTTACCCCATTCTCCCCAACAAGAAAAATCTAATCAATAATTAACATTTAAACATTTAAACATGTAAACTGTTCAGTGTATAGTAGCACAAGCTAGGAGGCCAGTTTAGCTTTACATAGTTTGTGTTAGGAAAATTAGTTTAGGTTCTACTAAAAAGATCCTGAACTGGAGTAAAACTGAGCTTCTGTTGTCCATTATGTGTGAGATTGGGGACAACAGGGTCTGACATTGTGTTTTTATGTGTGTACATGTTCTTTGTACAAATATCAGTCCTAATTGGTTCCAATGAATGGGGAAAAAAGATTCCCCATCTCACCTCAGTGTATCTGAAGACAACATACAAGAGTACATTAACCTTTTTAACTGAAATATACAGGTGTCAGTATTTGCTGAGAAAGGCTACAAATGAGCATAATTTAAATAATTTAAAACATGAAGGTTGTATTTCATGCTTTTTTTGTGGTGGGAAAATTAAATTAAAATATGTATTTTTACATAAATTTTTACATTACCTATCATTTCCCACTTGTGGGTACATTATGTTTAGATGATTATATGATTATATTGAGACAAATCAAAAGATGTTGATCTAGCAACACACTGTACAAAATCACAGTCAATGCGTATTCCTATTTTTTTTTTT